ATTTGAATCGTATGAATGAATTTAAGAAGCCATTCACATAATTGCTAGTCAAGCAAGTCCATACAACAGTCCCAGCTCTCTGCTGCATGGCATCCACTTTCTCTATTGCTGCATGTGCTTGGTCTGTTTTGTTGTTGCTGCTGTGTTAGTTCTGTTTGTTTGTTTGTGGTTTTATTTGTTTGTTTGGTCATGTTGTTTGTGGTTCTGTTGTTTTTTGTGTTTTTTGAGGTTTTTAAGAATTGTTGTTGTTGTTTGTTTGTCGTGTCTACATATTTGTTTCTGTTTTAATGATTTATGAGCATTTTTAATTCACCTTTATTCATCTTATTGCGTGTTATTTCATTTCTGTTAGTTTTAAACGTCCTTTTCATGTCCTTTTTGTGTTCATTGATTGTTGCGCGTCAAATAATGACGGCCGATTTCAAGCGTCTGCCTCAGCTTTTACTACTGCCCAGTGCTGCTGTCGGCGATAGAAGATGTCTTTGTTTCAGTCCTTAATATTTCTTCAGAGAAGTTTTTTTGTTGTTTAGACCGCTGCTAATCTACATGCTGTCTTGATTGTGTTTTCTTTTTTCATTATTGTTGGAGCTGGTGTATCACGTTTATTCTTGTTGCTATGAAGAATAAACTCTTTTCGGACAAAATAACTTGGCAGATACTCAGTGAGAAACTTTATTGTGACAAAAATTACATTTGTATATACAACTAGACGCTGTATATTTTTTGTAATTATTTTTATTAACAAAATGTTTTAAATATTAACGACAGAATTTGTGTGCATAAAAATTAGTGAAGCATGAAGATGCATTTCAAACACAGTAACACACTTACTTGCGTGTGAAGTATTAACTCGCTTATTTATACATGTATTTTTATATTTTAATTTAAACATGCATCCACACATACTTACATCAATTCATACATACATACACATACATATACATAGAAACGAACACATACACAAACACACACACACATACATACACACTCATACAGACATAAAGACAGCCCATCATATGTCCTTGCTTGCATGCACTGAAAACTGAACTTAAGATTTCAAAGCCTGCGCACAAATATAGTGCTATATAAATATATGAAATAATAGAAAGTACATAATAATACATAGATATATATGCGTAGATATGTGTACATATGCGTATATATATATATATATATATATATATATATATATATATATAGCATAGGCTAACCTTGACGCTCATACGCAGAATGTAAAATATACAGGCAGGCATGCGTGCAAGCTTTTGAGCTTTTGTACCTATGCGTTGCGTACATACAATCGCATGTGATGCGTTGCATTCCAACATGCTTGCATATCAGCGTATATTTATTAATATTTGCGTGCATCCATGTATAATTTAACGTATGCACGCAGATGGTACGTGTAAACAAACTCAGAAAAATGACATTGTAAAAAAACAGAACACAATTTTTTCATGAATGATCCTCCTACTTGGTGTTTATGGAAATGCATAGCACACACACAAACAGACACACACACACACACAAAGAGAAACACACCCACACACAAATACAAACACACACACGCACACAGACACAATTCACGCAATATTGTATTTCAGACTTATATTTATGTAAATGAAATCACACAAATATATTACGCGAGTATGCTGAGATATCTATTTATAGACTCTTATAAACTTCCGCATAATTTCTATAAAAAATAAGAACCTTAATTATGATGAAAATATTTCTAGCACCTATATTTATGTATCTGTTAAACCATGAAATCCTATTTAGACATACATATATTGGCATTTTTTTGAGTCAATAAAGCACATCTTTAAGTCTATACATACATTACGCACAAATAAACGTACAGAACACAAAGTATATATCAAAGTAAAAATATTACAAACGCATACATTCAAAACATACGCAAATACCTACACTACGTACCTTCATAAACATGAGAACATACGCAATACCATCTCTACATATCTATATAAATATGAAAGCTTATGCAAATATGCATACACACATAGACATGAAAACATGCAAATGCATACAACATTCAATCGAGTGAGCAGAAACTCGCTGTATTAGCGCATAGTGTTATATATTGTGTTAGATTGAATGACATGAAGACCGGTCGGTTGAGAGAGACATAACATCAGAGCGAAGGACGTGTGCACGTAACAGATCATTATAATCAGCCTCACTTGACAAGCTCATGGATTAGACTCTGCATGCAGGCGGGCAGGATATGCTCTTTGTCTGTCTGTTTTTCTGTTTGTTGGTTTGGTTGCGTGTCTGTCTGTCCGTTTTTCTGTCTGTTTGTTTGTCATTGCTTCATCCAGGATTTCATTTATTTTTATTTTTGTGTTGTTTTGATTCACTTACCGGCCGATGTTGATGTTCATTTTACTTTTTGTTGTTTTAAACTTTTGTCGTTGAGTTTATTATGATATCAGTGTTTTGTAGTTGGTTAAAATGTTTTTTTTATAAATTTATTGAAAGTACGTTGTGTTCTGTGTGCTTCTCAATGTTGACGCCTTCACCACTTTTTGTTAGTTTTTTTTGTCTCCACATTCATTATTTTCTATTTTTTCGACTTTAGCTACATCTTACCAACATTTTTTGAATGTTTGCTGAGAATTTTCTGACATTTGTTTGAAAACTTGCGGATCATTTTTTGAAAATGTAATACAATTTTATTCTTCCAAGTCGTTTTTATATGTTACAGTTAGTTTTTATTATTATTCATTTTCATTTTATTTCTATTTTTATTCGTCATTATTCTTTTCGTCATAAATTCATTTATCTATTTATACCGATTTATATTATTATTATTCATTTCATCATTATTAATATTCTTATTATCAATATATTTAATCTTATAATGTGAGAATCTCAAAATAGTTTCAAATGCATATCAACAAGTGACAAACATTTTGACAGGAAAGATCCGCATCTTTTTCATCATCAACTGCCTTCCTGCCATTAAGTAATGTTGATCGGAATTATTTTTAACGAGCTGCTGATGCATGTTCGTCAATTTAAAAAATTATTCTCACGATCAATTTTAATTCGGCCAAAGAGCGATTTAATTGATTAGTTAATTGTTTGTTTGGTTAATTGATTTATTAGTTAATTAAATAATTGATTGATTGGTTGAATAGCTGACTGGTTGGGGTCGGTTGGTTGATTGGTTGGTTGGTTTGTTGGTGTTGCTATTGATGTTGTCTTTATTGATATTATACCAATAATGTTGTTGTTTTTCTAGTGGCGTTGTATAGTTTGATCTGGATGATGGTGAGATTAATAATTTATGCCCAATAGCTCTTTCAGATGCAATCATTCACCGCTTTTTAAGTTGGGAGTGTCACGTTCATAGCAAATGTTGTTGTTGATTATTTTTGAATGATTCTTACATAAAGAAAATTGTTATTGTTATTCTAATACTTCATGCCTCTACATAAAGTGCTGTAAATCTTTCAGTTGTTTCTTAATGATAACTTCTGATCATAAAAATTTCGAGTGATTTGGGAGATGATGGTGATGAAGAAGATGTTGTTGCTGATGATAATGATGAAGAAATAGTATCAGTAGTAGTAGTAGCAGCAGCAGCAGTAGTAGTAATTTTAGTTGTAGTAGTAGTACTAGTAGTGGTTTCAATAGTACTAGTTTTAGTTGCCATTACTTAACTACTACTATTACTACTACCACTACTGCTACTACTACTATTATTATTTTTACTACTACTACTACTACTACTATTACTACTACTACTACTTCTACTACTAAACCATTTACTAATTTATTAATGATTATGATAATGATAATGAAGATGATGAAGAAGATGATGATGACAGAAATAAAGAATAATTTCTAAAAGAGCTTTCATTCCCGATGGTGATAACGTTCATTAGATTTATAACCGCAACGCTTAACTTCAAATCGATTACGTCTCATAGATGTGAATTCTAAAGGTAATTTATTTATTATATATTTATCTGATCTGAGAAATAATGGCCAGGGCAAACCCCTTGCCAACAATAAACTTGAAAAGAAAAGAATGTCTCGAAGAAATTGAATGAAACAAAGTAATGAACAACATGGTGTCTATGTAGACATAAAAACTGTTATTCAAATTAAAAAATTGTAAATTATAATATGTAATTTACATTGTAATAAACATATAAAATAAAGTTTGCTAAGTTGATACAGCCAACAAATAACATTAGATTTGAGCATTAAACATCCAGCTCCCAAAATACAATTCCAACAAGATTTTTAAGACTTTGTTTGATGTAAATGAAAATGATAAAATGAAACTAATGACATTAACGTTGATGATTGTGAGATAGCAACATTGATGACCATGTGACATTCATTATGATGGTTTGTTGTTATATATAACCTTGTACCTGCTTATGCTACGATCACTCTTAAGCTTCTGTTCTTGTTAATTAATCCAGAAAGCCTAAAATAGAAATCTAAAGAAATAGCACATGAATGGATTACATAAATAAGTAATATTCATTAAATAATATATAATAAGTTTTCTGGATTTATTATTTTTGGATAAATTTATTTTATCAAATCTAACTTGTTTGATGGAATTTCTTATCCATTTCATATCGCACCTGGAAAAATTTGTTATTCAACTTACCAAAAAAATATGTGAGAAATTTGTCTGTAAGTTTTTTTACGGCACTTGTTAATTATTGTTTACCTCTGGTATGTGTTTATGATGTGTGTATGTTATGTCTACGGTGTTGGTCTGTTATGTGATTTGAACTTGGTTTATTATGTTTATAATGTGTTTATGATGTTTATGGCTTCATACATCATAATGAAGGGATGGGCTGTTGTTTCTTTATTAGTTTTTCAATTTTTATTGTTTCATTGTGCTTTATTGATGTGAATTTTTAAACTCTTAATTGTTGTTGAATTTTTTCTTATATATTTAAAAAATTTCAAGCAGCTCTTAGTTGAAGTTCACTAAGAGCTGTTTACAACTCTATTGCGTTATCAAATTTTCGATACTCCAATTTATCAGTTGGTTTATCGTGTGATGCTGTGTTGTTGTTGTCGTTTTGTCAGTGGTTATATGTTAAAAATTTAAAAAAGTTGTTGTTATGTTGTTGGTATACACAATTTTTAAAATGCTTATATTGATTCACCTTATTGTTGTTGTTGTTGTCGTCGTCGTCGTCTGTTTTTCTGTTCTGGACTAAATTGTTCTAACCGAAATAAAAGTTGGTGTTATTATTTTTAGTTGTTGTTGTTTTGTGTTGTTGTTGAAATTATTATTATTGTTGTTGTTGTTTTATTGTTGTCACCATCCCAGTTTTTGCTTGATGCTCGTCAAACTATTGATTTAAACGCACAGACAGTTCGACGCGTATTGTTATTGTATTAGTTCGACATACATGAATGAATTAGCACACGTTGGTTGGATTGATTTTTCAAAATGTTCATTGTAATATTTCTTTTGTCTCGTACAGCAAATGTCGCCAACATTTTTATTATTTCAGCAAATTTTATAGAAATAATTAAGAAAATAATTTTGGGAATTATGCCAAGTATGATTAATGACATATATATATCAACGTAAACCAACTTTTAAAACCATCAACCAACAATGGTTTTCTCATTGTCGTTGAATTATTTATAAAACCGGATTTTTCAGCGGCAAGTAATTAATATTTATTACTTCTAACCTTAAATATTTTGGCTATGGCTGGCACTGAAAATCTAAAATAAATAAATGTTGCGAAAAAGTTTGGGGGTCGAAAAATAAAAAAAATCATAACAAAAGTCTTTATTTCCTATGATGGTGATAAATAATGGTAAAACTGCAATAAAAACACCAATAAACATAGGAATGTCAAAAATTTGTTATTATTTTTTGAAAAAATAATTATTTAGGCTTTTTAAAACAAATTTTAGTGCGGTATTTTCTTCGTAAGTCATAAATCACTGTGGATATATAATTTATTTTTAAATAAAAACAAATTGCTATTTTTTCAATGATGTAATTGTTTCTTCAATCACTCAGAGGGCCAACCTATCATCATCTAACGTGTGCACTTAGTGCGGGCCAAATTCAAGGGAAAGGCCTTGTAGGGCCCTTCACCATAAAAGGGTCTCGATGAGAAAGAGTCGTCGCTGGAAAAATTTTTTCTCTAGAATAAATCTCAAAAATACTGCTTTTAATAAAAAATGTTGGTCAAAAATGATGTGATCCCAAGCAAAAAAGGCGTCACTAACCTTTTTAAAAATTGTATAATACGACCAAGATGCCTCTAGGAAATATTTTGGGACATCCACACCTATATATCTGGCGCAGTACTTACACGTCTTTCGTACGTGAGGAATTGAAAAATAAGGACTTTGCGTGTTTTTGCGTTTTTGTAGGTGGTTTCGGAATAATTTATCATTTGTTGATTCAAATTCAATGTTTTATGGCCTCGTATATCTGTGAAGTTTAATTTTTTTATATTCCATGCTTAATTATTCAAAGCATTCAAAATGTAATACGTTATCATTCTTGGCCGGGATGAAAACTTCAACTCATTTCTGTGAAACTTATTTTAATCCTAAAAATTTTTATGTGATGAAAGCTTTAAATGAACAAACTATTTTTTCCTTAAATGAATAAATGTTTTATTTAAAAAATGTGAAAAACATTTTGTTGATTCGCCTCTAAAGTGTAAAATCAAATAAAACTGTAACAATATATAATCTGACATAGGTATATTAGATGAGCTTAGAAAAGAATTTGAACGGTACACAGACGCATGCAGTTTGCTCACTTGATATCGTTTCGATACGCATAAGTACCGTTTCGATTTGATTATTGAAAATCCTTCGTGCAAATAATAATAATGATGTTGACAATATTTAGTTTCTGTTCGTCCCTACAGTTAAAACATTCGAATAGTTAGATAGAGAAGCACATATAAACACACAAAAACATACTTGCGTTTGTGTCTTATATCCCTATCTGTGTGTGTGTGTGTGTGTGTGTGTGTATGTGTGTGTGTGTGTAAGTGAATGTGATGTGTGTGTGATTGTATCTTTTTCTTAGTGTATGTGTGTATGTGTATGTGTCTGTTTATATCTCTTTCTGAGTCAGTTTCTCATGTGGGTGTGTGTCTGTTTGTATCTTTTCTGTCTGAGTGTATGTTTGTGTAATATTTTTTTTTCTATTATTTTTCTTGTATGTTAGTTATTGAAAAAAATAAAGAAAAAAGAGCAAAAATGGAAATGATAAAGAGCGAGAGAGAGAGAGAGAGAGAGAGCAGAAGTGCAAAAAATGAGTGGAGTACACTTATGTGTAGTGTTTTGAGCTGATGCAATAAAGAAAATAAAGAAAAAACAGATTGAACGATGCCTGGGTAGGTCGGTCGGTAGTGTTGTTATTATAACAACAACTCGAGGCAAATATTTTGAGAATGTTTACCGAGTAATTTAATGTTCAGGTGATCGTAAGATAGAAGGACGCATATGAGAATGTAACGTTAGTAGCAGCTTACTATCGTAACATGCAAATGGTAAAAGAATGTCAACAACGAACTTAGTATTTAATAGAACTCCCTCGATGTTTAATAATTATATAAGCTGATGGTCGTGACTGTAACTGTTATGTTAGTTTGTGCTTAGAAATCTCCTACTTGTTAATAATTCGCAAGGTCATCAACATTTTCATCCCCTTCTGCTGATGTCAAATATTTTTTCATCGAATTAAATAGCATTTCAATCGCTTGGCTTGTATAAAATTTATTAAACGGTTTCATCGTAACGTTAGCGGAAGCTTATTTTGTGCTAAATTCGGCAAATAAAATTAATATACATATTTTTTACGCTTCTGGATTAAGCATTATTTATTCCGTTATTTATTACAATAAATTTTTTTAATATTTCTATGGAAGGTGCATTTTTATTACCTCTACTTGCGTTTTTTTATTTAACAAAAGAGCGATACATATGGCGGTAGACGGTATTATGTTCGTCGTCGGGACGCCTTCCAACGATGTCATGGCAAGTGCACTTCCCTACTCTTTCCACGCAAATATTCAAAACTGGGAAAAAATTGTGTATACACTCACTGGAGGAAATGTATGCGTGTGCAGACAGTGATAATGAATTGCTAGAAGCACCTAGACGCATCGATTCCAAATATAAACAAATTTAAAAATGTATGTCTTTGTTTATTTTCCGTTAAATTATTTTGCGATATTTTACAAACATTTGTTGAAGTTTTTAAATAGCAAATTGTTAGCATTTTATTGCCTGGTTGAGAATATACGATGGTAAAATCTAATCATTTTGATTTAAAAATATCCGTTTTAAACAGCTCGAATAGTTTGCATCATGTTAGAATCGTTTCAAATTTATTGGATTGCATGATCGTAACTAGAAACAACGTGCGTGAAGAACAGTTCGTGTGCAGTCAATTGTAAAAATTACAAGATAAGATATATTATACAATAAAATCAGTCACATCAAGTACTACGAAAGAAAAAATAAATATCAACTTCTTAAACATGTGTATAAATAAATTTACGAAGTTGCACCCTTCATGGTCTTGAAGATTAATTATTTTTTTGATTCCCAATATGATTAGTGTATGTCAAACATTTTTGAGTTATTTTTAACGGCTAATGATAAAGTTAAACTCACAAATGCGCTTCTACAGTAAAAAATTTTCAGCCAGCTTTAATAATTTTTTAAGATCTACGAAGCATAGGATGGTTGCCTCAGTTTATAAACTGACAAATAGATGCATTTACTTCACAGATATATTACGTTACGTTATGTTAAGTTATGTTATGTTATGCTATGCTTTGTTATGTTATGTTATGTTACATGTTCAACAATGCGCGCGCTGACAGACTGGAAATCAGTTTTCATCATCTGAGTGAAATGAAACTTGACGAAGCCAGTTATAGAGTATTTTCCTTAGTTTCTCAGTGTTATTGCACATTATGCCCCTAATATTTTGTAAGCAGAACATCTTTGTTACCAATATTATTATTCTTATTATTAATAATATTTGTTATTATTGTTGTTATTACTATTATTCTTATTATTTTTATGTCTTTTTCTTCCTCCATTAAAGTGTATTTTCTCATCGTACCGCTCCTTGATTAAAGGCATCACAGGTCGATGCAATGGCAAGGCATCTATTTCTTTTCATTTGTACTGTACACGATACCTTTGTGAGTGTTTGTACGTATGTGTGCTTTTTATGTGCATTGTGAAGTTGAATGTTTTGTGTATGTATGCGTGTGGTGTGGCATCCTTCACGTACGTACGTGTCTGTGCAAGTGTCTTTGCAAGTGTTTGTGCATGAAAACTGATGTGCTCGCGTGTTGTTTTGGTCACTCACTCCATCATTCGCAATCTACTTAGAATGAATGCTCTGAGCACAGTGAGTAAATTAAAAATTTTGTTTCTAAGGACTTTTTAAAGTTAATTTATTTTCTCGTTCATGCCAATACATCTATGATGAATGATGAAAATTTTAATTTGAAAAATTAACTCAAAAATCTTTTTTAGTTACTAGCTTTCTGAGTTTCTTGCAAACCGATTTCACTTTATCACTGTTGAGTTAATAAAATGAAATGATCATTTTTAAGTTATTGTTAGAGTTAAGTTTGGGCATGAACAGAAACATTTCACGTTTACAAGCTCGAAAGGTTGACCATATAAAGTTATAAATGATGTCTTGGATGGTGAGGCAGATGAATTGACTGCTAATGAATCAACTATATAAAATAGTTCATACAATTTTTGTGTGGTAAATGTTATTTCTACATTAGTTGAATACAAAATTTTCTACAATTTTGAAATAAATGTTCATCGCTGTTTTAGCTGGCATATAAGTGGAAACCGTTTATGTGGCCGCAGACAACAATTTACGATACTTCAATGCAAATAATCTTGCTCGCATAATTGTTATATGTTCATATGGGCATTAAGTCACTCGGCTACACAGACTCCACTGATTATCTCTCGGATTACAGGGTTCTTCTCGCAGCATTACCGTATTTCGCGCTTGAATTCATCACTTTCTTCAAATTTTGTTTCTGCTGAAAATAAGTGAAGATAAATGTTTTGTATTTCTTACAAAACTACAGTTTTTCGTCATATTTGAAAGCAGAAGATAGAGTTAAATGTCAATGATAAATTAAAGAGGTTAAAGAATGATAGCAGAAGATAGAGTTAAATGTCAATGATAAATTAAAGAGGTTTAAGAATGATAGGGAAGTATATAAAAAGATCTGAGGTCAATGCAATATTTGTCCTTTCTGTTTGCAGATTTCGTCAGAGCCCTGTATTTTCCTAAATGGGAGAGATAAAGGCGCAAGAACGTTTTAGCATTGGAATGTTTTATGATTCTTGAGAAACTGAGCCCGTATGATTTATTCGATTCCATACGTCAACATGATTTAACCTTATGGATAGTTTTTGCTTTGTTGCAAGATGTGTTGCGAATGTTACGTTACGTATGTATCGGTGTTTGCTGAGAGGTAACATTTTTGCCAGTGCGATGGTTTGTGTGTACGCATGTGTGTGTGTGTGTGTGTGTAGGTTTGCGTTGTGTGTGTGTGTGTGTGTTTGTGTGTGTGTATGTGTGTGTGTGTGTGTGTGTGTAGGTTTGTGTTGTGTGAGTTTGTTTGTGTTTAAATAGTTCTCAAATTATAATTTTCTAAAACATAATTTTTCAAGTTGGAAAAAATTAATTCATTAAAAGACATAAAATTAGAATTAATTTTTATATTGTTAAAACGCAAAATAAAAAAATCCATTAAAATTAATTTAAGTGAACTCAATCATTTTTACATTACCAGAAAAACATCAATTGATTAAACCAGATAACAGATTTGACATCCATACTTTATTTCCAATTCATCTCTGTAGGATCAATATAATCTTTAATTTTACGTCAAACTCAATTAATCATGCAATTTAAAATGTTGATTCAAACTTCACAAAAAATAAAAAATAAAACAGCTTGAGAACAAAGACGAAACATGCGAGAAGAAAGAGAGAGAGGACAAGGTGTCAGAAGAGATCCAACATCACACGCTACATCCTCGTCAACCTCAACACCTGCAAAGCAAACCACAACTGCATGAGAAACAGAAACGACCATTGCTAGCAGCAACAACAGCTGCTGCAGTTACAACCACTTCAATTTCAGTAACGCAACATTTTGAAGAACGACTCGAAGACGAACAACAACATTATCGTGAACACGAACACCCACAACAACCTCGTAGCAATTCAACTCATCGACTAGCAACAACTCCACAGAATGGCAAGTTTTTATTTCCGTCTCATCTTTCATGAATCATTCATATTTTATCGCTCATGCTATCGACTTTTCATTTTTACGCGTCATCAACTCAACTTTCGACGTCTAAATTAATTAATTAATTAATTAAATTAATAAATTAATTAGATTTTTTATGTTTTATCTAATTTTTAATCAATTAACTTACAATTAACTAAATTAATAAATTAATTAGATTTTTTATGTTTTATCTAATTTTTAATCAATTAACTTACAAGCGGAAGCATAGACATCAACATCGCCTTCATTGGGCTATCAATAATATCATCACCGTCGCCATCATCATCGTAGTCATCATCATCATCATCATCGTAGCCACCATCATCATCATCAATATCATTATCTTGTACGTAGACGCATGGTCATCATTGTGGACATGTAACTCCTCCATCTGATTATCATTATATTATACTTCTGCCACTGTTGTTAAACCGCACGCGTTGTAGTCAATATTATTATTGCCGGGTAATTTTGCATCGTTAGTTAGGATAACCGTACTAATAATATAAATAATAATAATAATAATAACAATAATAATAAAAACAACAATGATAATATTATTATAACATCACCTAAAATAACATTTATCGCTAAAGTTCATTGCTATATTTGCCCTCTTTAGCAATGGAATGTGTTGTTGTTGTTATCATAGTTACTGTTTTCTTCTTATTATTTTTTTTATTTGTATTGTTATTTTTAATGCCAACCAAACGGCCATCTCGGCGATGCTTCATCAATTCTGCACTAACATTTCCTCATTTAACGCTCCGTGCTCTTCAATAAGACTGACAAACCGCATTTTTCTCTGCGTATATTCAAACGAGTGCTTGTGCGGTGTGAACGCCGCGGAGAAGATAGCAGTTGCTCATGTATATGATGTAAACAAGCAGGGGTTTATTTCCTAGGCTGTCTTTTTTCAAAATCTAACTCATTTATTTTGCACAGCAAAATGGAGGTGATATTTCTAACAAGCAAGATGTCTCAAAGCAAATTTAAAAACGGAAAATGTAAACCGATTTGTTTGTTTTTGCATGACATTCATTTAAGCGTGAAAAGTCAGCACATGGCAGTTGATTTCTTCAACATCTGCACCTCCGTCAACACCACGACCACCAACAACAACAACACTGAGATCTCTGGTAGATTGTGGATGTTAATCATTTTAACAGTAGGTTCACTCAAAACATGTCATTATCGATACAACATGAACGCTTTGTTTGCAATTTTCTTCTGAAACAACGACAAGTTGTTTGGAAGATAAGGAAAAAAATAGCAACCGTATTTTGTGTTACAACTGCCTGCTACATATTTTAAATTCTTTTTTTTCTTGTAACGTACCTATATGTACAACATATACTCACACATACATACATACTAATCGTGACTGAAAAAGCAAGTGAACGCTTGAAAACATGAGAAGGAATTTGTTTAATTTTATTCTTTGTTAGTGTACTTCTGTTTGAGATTGTTATTTACATTCATAGCAGTTTCTCTCTTTTGTTTGAATTGTTTGCGTTATATTGAACTTATGCATAACAAATACTCAATCCCGACTATTTAGCACTACGTAGTTGACCTTTGTTTAAACTTTTGAATCGCATTGGATGGTGTCAGAGAGATGTAGAACAAGTTTTAAACGTCCAATGTCACGATGCAATATTTGTTGTTTAACCAGTATCTGCAATTTTGATGTTTAATATTAATTTAAATTTTCAGGTTATGTAATCGAAACTTTTCACAATTATTTCTAATTATAACAGTAGACAACATTTTTTCACATGACCCAGACAGACAGGAACATGCAAACAGACAGGAACATGCAAACAGACAGACAGAAACATGCAGACAGACAAACAGACAGACAGACTGACTGACGGTATGTAATTGCTTTGTTGTTTGACTACGTGTATTGCTACTGACCAGCCAGCCGTAGACATACATTTGCATCTGCAATTCAATAAACTCGCGAAACGTTCTTAGGCTCATAGGACTGCACAGGACATAAATATGAAGCTAATCTTCTGCCACTATAAAACATGCGCCGTGTAGAGGCGTGTCGAACACGGAGCGCCACGTAAATATTGGTTCGGTAAACATGGGTAGGTGTAAAATATGCGTGGTCGCTAGCTGCTAGCAGTCGGCATGCGGTCACTAATGTTATCATCATGTGCGTGGTGGTAGCATGTCATCATGTGATGTGCGTGATACGTGCCCATTACGTATACGTGATACACGTAGGTACACCTGCGTTCAAGATTTACTTTATAGTTTTTCTAATTTCTGAAAGAAGTATGATGACCAATGTTATTAATGGGATGAGTATTAAATGCTAGATAGATACGTGCATGCATGTTTTTGTTTTGATGGAGAGGATTATTAATGAGATATCCAATTAATTACTGCTTATTTTCACTCAACAAATTTCACATCTTTTCATGTGTTCATGGTCATTAATGTTCACACTATTCCTGAAAATGAAAATATACAATGCGGCATATATATACAATGTGGGTGGGTTCAGTACAACTACTTTTTAAAGTTTTTAAATTCATTTCTAGTAAAAAAATTATTGACAATATAATTTTTTATAACCATATTTTAAACATGAATAATATTTTCAATCTGCCCATAAAACATCTGCAAAAAAAGATTTTTCTTATTTTTTGGATTATTTTTAATCTCACCTTCTATGAAAAGAACATTTTTCAAAAAAAGGAAAAGTCCCAATTTATTTTCAATTTAATAAACAAGAAATACATTTGAACACGGCCTACATACATTATACAGCTTCTCAGATTTCTAAATATTTAAAAGATTTGAGTTCAAAGATTTTTGTCAATTTTGTTTATACTGTTTTTATTTCATAGACATCAAACATGGTTTATACATTTGGCTTATCTGTGAGTCAGGCTTATCAGGTAAAATTCTACCGAGTAAAAGAAAAAATATCTCGTTCCAACGATGTAAAGCAGTGAAAAATTGCGTGTGAATGTAGATTTGATAGTCTGTCCAGTAACATCTGGACTGAGACCAAAATTATAGAAGTGAATTATTTTATCCCTACCTTGTGATGGTTTTATTGAACGGTATCGTGACCAGCCACGGAGAGGACGTTTGCAGTGGACGACCTCAATGACGTACAGGTCTGCTGTGATTGTTATCCATTGTAATGCGTGCTGTGTGTTATAAACTGTGTGTATCTGTTAGTGTATGTATAATATGATTTGTAACACATTTTATAAGTTCTTAGTTCAGACGGATATTATACAGGTCGGTCCAAAAGTATGCATGCAATCAGTTGTACATAATTTGATATCAGTTACAATTATTTTTAAACGTACAATCACTAACACTATCAAATTTTATTCTAAACTATAACACATAAGTTCTTAAATTTTAACGGACCACTTGAACCTTGAACTCATAAATGTTATCATATAACCGATACTTCACCTCATTCAAATACTGTTCACTTACTTTTGGACCACCCTGTTCTACATCTGCCTACATAAATATACATCACTAATAACACACAATTAGTTAAATATTTAGTATTAAACATTTCACTGTTTCACAAGGTTCCTAATTTGTGCATGCATGCCAGCAACACATATACAAACACACATAGTACATTTATCTTATCTCATAATGAAGCAAGGATTTTTTTCGTGCTTAACTTTCACATCTAATTTGCAGTTTTTGTTTTCGGGTTTTTTTTGACTCTTACAAATAAACACGCAATATATTTCTAAAATAAATCTCGCTCCTCGTTCGTTTGCCCGTTCGTTAAACATTTAATTAGTCTCCGTCAGTGCATTGTTTAAGGTGATTAGAGAGTGTGACGTGTGTGTGTGTACGTGTGTGTGTACGTGCGTCTGCTTGTGTGCCTGTCTGTTGTGATGCGGGCGTGCTACTGTTTTGCTGATTGGTACACTTGCTTGTGGATGTTTTTTGAGTGTATGTGCATTTGTGTTTATCTGTCTGAACATTTGAAGTGCACGTGAAGTTCCTCGTGTAACTTGACATAGGTTGTGTTGTTGTTCTTGTTGTATATATTTTCATTTTTTTAAGGTTATTCATCCGTTCTATTGTTTTTCTTAAAAATGAAATTTTTGCCCTAACCAATTTTTAGTCAATTCCTTTTTCACTGTGATGAAAATTCGAAAGTAAATAAAACAGGACTGCGCAGGACTGACTTTCATTTTCAAAAACAAAAAAGACAGAGGAGAAATTGAATGAGAAATTTTTAATATTTGTGGACATGAAAGGAAACAGATACAGATGTTACTCCATTTTGGTTTTTTCCATCGTGAAATGTTTCTCTCTTTCTTTTGCATCATTTCTTCTCCAGCCTGGCTCGGCGCAGCGATATGAGATCCGACGTTTTTATCAGGCAACGCCAACAATGCATCGCTTCTAATATTGCCATCATGCTAGCAGCACTTTGATGATTATCATCAGTCCCATCATCATAGTCATCGTCATCATCATCCTGATCGTTATAACCATCATCATCGTCGTCCTAATCAACTTAGTCATCATCGTTGTTAACTCCCACATCGTTCAGATCATCCTTTGCCTTTATTAATGTATGTGATTGTAAACGTAATAACGTCTTGAATACCATTGTAACATCTTTGCGATCACGTTATCATTAACATCATCGTGATGTTGCAACATCATCGTTTCTGCATTAAAATGTCATCACATTTGAAGACCATTTTACACCACCATAACTTATGCAGATAGTTTTCGTCGTCATCATCATCATATTTCAACATCATCATATTTCCATATCATCATCGTGGCTTTCTTTTTTATAGCATTGAATTTTTGTGGAATCAACATGAGTGTACATTGTTCGTTCTTCATTTTTCGGCGTACGTAGATTCGAAATGTGTGCGCGCGTTTGTGTGCGTGCGTATGTGTGTGCGTGTGTGTGTGTGCGCGTATATGTGTGCGTGTTGGTGTGTGTCTGAGTGCACATTTCAAGTTC